TTCCCAAATACAACTTATTAAATATTCTCTCCTCTACTCTACTCTCGTTTTTGTTGTGCAAGTCAGCACAAAATTATTTATGGGTTCGCTTTTATGGTTAGACTTTCCACTTAGTCGATCACCCATTGACGTAGTCCGAATAATTTGAGGGCTATACTAAAACATTTAATCACTCACTTGCCTTCCTCTTTTTTCCTTTTTTTTGTGTGCCCTTGGTAGAAGATTTTTTGTTTCACGCTAATGAAAGTGTGTCGCTGGGGAAATGGTTAAAGACGTACTGCAATACGTACAGGCATTCCAAATATTAGAATAAATATCAAAACTCAAACATTCATAGATTCCTAATAAATCATTAAAGAATTAAAAAGCACACAAAATGTGATCGAAATAAATTACCAAAAAAAATCTCAAAATATATTCTTCAGCGTTAATAGCTTCTATAAATAATCCACTCTGAACTTATTTAAGAACTCGATGAAGGAGACTCATTAATTAACTAAGATATCACCTGATCTTGCCCCACAATTCATTCATTTTTATAGAACATTTTCCTCCACGCCCCTACCCGCCCCACAATACTTTTTCTGCTGTCAAAACTATGATCCCGGCATGTGATTAGCAGTTGTTGAACCCAACGCACACACATGCGTGCCACAACGCAAATTCGCAGACACACAGATACACACAGAGACAGCTTAGATAATGGCACTCAGTGTTAGATAACAGTCAACGCCCGGCAGGCAGGCGACCAATTTATAGGACAAAAAACTGCACGCGCACAGCAAACCAAAAACAACAACAAAAAGGCAAGAAAGGGAAAAAAAAGTGAAATAAAAGTTTGCCATATGAGATTAAAAGCGCCTGCGTGCGTTTGCAGATACAGAGATACATATACGCACCGCGAAAGATACACCAGATACTGCCATCTGCTATAAATAATTTAAATAAATTTTCAGGTATTATTGAAGAGGAGTGGTGTGTGACCCTAAGGTCGTTTTTTGCACACAAATATTTCGCTGTTTTTGTTTGTTAATTTTCTAAAAAAAAACTGAAGTGTACTTTGCTTAGGCTGCAGTCGGAGAAAAACTACTCAGTCGCAGTCACTTTATAAATTAAATTTAATTTGTTTATTGCTAGAGTGCACTCGGATTAAGTTATCCAAGACACCGGACGTCTCTTCTAAAGGTGTTGAAATATAATCAAAAAATATGAAAAATATGAAGCTAACTCGTGCCAATTAGCAGCCGGCTAATAGAAAAATTTGTTTTTATGCCAATTTCCTCTTTCGGGGCCGACCATTTGTTTGTGGGTTTTTGGTGATTTTTAAGATGGACTTGATTCATATTTGCATAAGTCGTTATTTAATTACTTTCTCCTAGCAAGCGGATGGAATACACTTATTACTCGGCGAGATGCCAAATCCACACACAAATTATTTCAATTTGAGCAGAAGAAAAGTTAAAGAACTTGCACTATTTATGGTATACGCAAACATTTGTTCTATAAAGATATAGAAATACATATGTATGGTAGGTATATCCCCCAATGAATATTAATTATTTTTTTAAATTAAAACGCCACTGAGAACTCAAAAGTCATTTGTTCAAAAAATATGTAAAATATTTGGCTATATTTCTACAAATATTTCCAAACATTTTTCTAGCAAAATAGCAAAAAAAAATCAAACTTATGTAACATTTATTTTTACGCACCTTTTTTTATGTTTATTTCGCTTGAGTTCTTTGTTGTTGTTGTGTGAGTTTTACGATGCTTTATTTTTAACGCTTTGGGTTGTTGGTTTTTCTTGCACTTTGCACACTTTAAACAATTTACAAGAACTTACTTATTGCAGCATCAATTCAAAATTTTCTTGCAATCTTTCAATTTTCTCATTTTTGAAACAGACACAACACTCCGATATTTTTTCAATATTTTCTATTGGCTTTTACTCCAAAATGGAACATTTGTTTCCTTCATCCGTTTTCAGGGGGTTTGTAGTGTTTCGATAGCTTTCCGGATAGTACACAATTTTCACAAAATGCGAGAAAACCGGAAGAAGACGCGAAAACGCGAACACGCCGCGATGGATGGTTGCGTAGATCGATCGATGGATAATGAAAATGCTCGGCAAATACTCGAAAATGTTTGCTGCGGATAATATATTCGGGCGGACTTCGAGTGCTACTGCGACTGCGGACCCTCCGCTTTTTGTATTTTTGTTGCCGCTTCGGCCGGCGCTAGTCAGAGACTGAATCCAACCGTATTTATTCCACAGTACATTGATTGTGCTGCTGCTGCTGCTGCTGCTGCTTGCCTGCCGCTGTCTGCTGCTGCCTGCTGCCCGTGGTGAGTTTGGTGAGTTCATCATGTTCATATTTTGTCTTGGTTAAACTGCTGCTGCGAGACGGGCACACAAAATAGTGGTGGTGCGTCTTGAAGTCCTCTTTCTAGTTTATAGGAAGTACATAGTTGTGGGTGGAAGAACGATATTAAAGACCAACGAGATTTCATTGATGGGTCTACATTTTAATGAGAATCAGAATCAGATAACAGAAGTACTGGGCTATGCGCAAAACTGTTAGAATGGGTTTTTGGGGTTTTTGTGGATAGATATGCTTTGTTTATTGGTTTATGGGTTTTTTAGAATTTTTGTGTGCATAAGATTATTAAGATGAAAAGGGGCTACTAAAAGTGATTCATATTTCCTGAATAACAGACAACGGCATCACCCTAAACCCAATCGTATATTATTCTTAATCCATTCAATTACTAAACTAAAATTGTCCAGCAGAAATACATTTTATTTTGTAGCTTTCGTGATACTATTGTGATACCATCTAAAGCCATACCAAAAACTAACGTGTAATTATCGGGTAACCCTTATTAAACCATTTAAAACCACAAGGAAACCTACTCCAAAACTCATTAAAAAAAATCTAAAACATAAAACTAACCAGCAGCAATATAAAACCCTTCCACAAACCACTCCTAGTCTAACCATCCAAAACCATCCAAAATGCAAGCTAAAACCATACCTGGAATCCCATAGTAGCCACCGCCACCAGCCATCCCCTGTTACCAAGCGAATCTTTTGGCTAAACCAATGGATCCCCCTGTCACGTGCCATTTCCCGCTGACAATATGAGTGTGAGTTGTGATTGCTGTCGTCACTTGTGTGTGTCGCGTGTGTGTGTGTGTGTGCTGTAGGGGGGTTGGGTGTTCCGTTCGTTTGCTTGACTTTGGGTCTGTATTGGGTTTGCTACCTGCTTGCCGTTCGTTGGCGTTTGTGCTTTTTGGCGCGTAGACCTCTCTCTCTCCAACGGTGCTACGTTCGAGTATTTCGCCAGCAATTTCTCCGCCTAACGAACAGCACAGCACAAAGTGCAGCGCCGCACAAAAAAAGAACCCCAAAAGAGGCAACCCAAAAGCAAAGAGCTGCACTTTTTATATACTCCGGGGAAATCGCTAATGAGTCAGGTTCCACTTCTGGTCTACAACAGCAGGGGGGAACGTCCAATCGGCACAGTTTGATTAGGCGACTGATAAGCAAACAGCCTTTGGCCGTTTATAGATCTATTTACTGCAACACCAAAAGTATTTTGGGCTAACTAAATCGTGGCTCAAAGAGCCTCAGCTGCTGTCAAATGCAGATCAACTTTTACTGTTTAGGCACGAGAAATTCCAGCGCGAATATTTATCTTATCTGCATGGTCAAAAATCACATGGGCCCGGGAGAGAGAGAGAGACCCACTTTTTGGTGCAAAATATAATGTACATTGAACTTGACAATGCCCCGCAAAAATATCTACTTCTGGTGATAGACCACGTCACGCCTAATGACTGCTGGCTGCGTCAGCGATGCGTAGATAAAAACAATATCTAGCGATAAGGCTAAAAGATAAAATATTTTGGGAGCTCTGTTTGTTGGCATTCTATGGAAAATGGAACGGCAGCACTCAAGGGTAAGGTTCGACGGGGTTTTTAAACTACGGAAAGTATCTCTGACTCATAGCTGAAACATACATTTTAGAAGGATTTGCTCTAAAATAAATAAACTATGCTTACAGATCCTCTTAAGAAATTCCATGTCTTCTTTCATCTGTCTCAAACCCCATTTACTAATCTATTTCCTTTCTTTTGTTTGCAATTGTAAACTTGAAATTTCTTTTAGTTTCCTTCACTCCCAACTTTTTCTTAAGTGTTGCCACAAAAGCGGTGAGTATTGGGGCTGCTAATGCTGCTCCCCCAAAACAATTAACTCAATTAAGTTTCAACGACAACATTTGAGTGCCCCGAGAATTTCTCGCCTTCGAGACGTGCCCCCGAGCACATGTCAAATGTCCGTGTCCCTTGCCCTTGGCCTTTCATTTTTCTCCCTCCCCCTTCCCTCTCAAGTGATGACCCTATAAATAACCTACGACACAGGCTGTGCGTGCGTGTGGCTCCCCCGCAGTTTTCTAGAGACCGAGCGAGAGAGCAACCTCTTGACTCTGTTGATTTTAGGCATAGCCTACCCCCACTATTACCCCCGATTATCCTTCAGAATGCAGGCAGACAATTAAAATGATTAATTAAGGAGCAGCAGCAGCGGCAGGACATTTTTCGGGCTAATGACTTAATTAACCCGCCAGTTGAGTGTTCCACAGTTTAATGTGGTCGCCTCAACACAAGTAAGAGAAATGAGACCTTTGACCCTTTTTCCACGTAAACTGCAACTGCCGCTGCTCCTTCGGCCTTCCGCAAGATGTTAATTTAATTAATTTAAAAAAAAAATATAAGACCGTAGCTGAAACGAAACGAAACCAACCGAAATTGTGTGGCAAGTGATGCACCCAGTGTGGAGAGAGGTGTTTGCCACAGCATTTAAATATGTGAAATAAATGAGGCAGCTGCCTACCAAAAAACCTGACTCCATGTTTACACCTTGCTTGTCCCAGCGCGCGCGTTTCTCGGGCGTTTAAAAACGCGTCAGCCCCAGCTTCAGCATCCAAGGTTGGCGGCTTTTCCTTGTCTACACAGAAATGTATCTAGTAGATCGCTATCTGTATCTGGGCGTTTGCAATTGTTCCATTCACGTCGCGTATTCAATTACAAAATACATTGTCATGTCCACTGTCAGCGGACATGATTTCCACTGGTTTATAAATTGGTAGACAAAAACGATCTGATTTCTTCTTGAAGTGCATCTGCCATCGATGAATGATCAATAAGTGTGGTGGCGCAGCATTTGGGCCAGCATTGCTATGCCATTAGCAAGGCATTATCAGAGCCATTAGGCTGCCATCAGAGCTAATCACAGAGACGCAAAGTATCTGCAAATGCAATAATTTATGTTAATAAAATTGTAATAGTCGGCTGTCAGCGAAATGGCGACGAACATGCAGCCAGCCGTCAGACAGCTTCGAATCAGTTCGAATCAATTAAGAACCAATCGGTAACCAATCTGCTGCTGCCTGGCCTCTCTTTTGTCTTTAGCCAAGTGACCTGCTGGTCAAGTTGTTGTCTCGCTTTGTTTAATATACAAAAACATGTTAGTTAACCCTTGAAAATCCTTAAAACCGTTCACAAAATGTACTCTCTTTTTCAGTCTTTTCCCTTAACAAGGAGTTTGATATATCTATCAGGAATACTTATAAATAGTCTAAGTAATGGATATATTATATTTATCCCAAGGGGTTAAAGCAAATGCAAATAATGATTAAAGTGAAATGTTGTTGTCGCCAGCAGGTCGCTTGGTACTCCGATCGCATTAGATTGAACTTAAGACTCGTATCTGGATCTATATCTGCATTTGCATCTGCATCTGTATCTGCATCTCTATCTATATCGGTATTGAGAAAACCGCCAGCTGAGTGATCGATTATGCTGGAAGTGCCGCGAGTGGCAGTAGCAGTTTTACTTTGCTCTAATCACAATAATTGATACGTAAATATTTTGTTTTGGATTGCAATGCTAATTATGTGAGCCATAAACTACAACTGCGTTCCTTGCCGAGTGGGCCTTGAGTTCTACACCCATTTTCCCCGCTCTGGCTGAGATCTATCGGAACTCTGTTATAAATCAAAATTCTAGCATTCCAACATTTGACTTTCTTCTAAATGAAACTAACAACATTTCGGTTGGAAAAATAAGCAAAAATGTTTTATTCCCTTCTGGCTTCCGGCTTGCTCTCTGTTTTGGCATAAAGTTTGACTGCCAATGTGCGAATCAGCCGCTGCCATAATCAGGAAACACAAAAGGGCGATGGAGGGCACAAAGGCCACGCATCACACATCAGGGCAGGCGTGTACAATCGATACGTTGATAGAGCGGGCGGGGGCTAAGCGAATTGAGAACAAATTGTACAAAATTTCCAAGTTTTAACATCGAAAAAACATTTTGAAAAAAAAGTAGCCCCCATACCAACGACAAAATGCCGACGCTGGAAGTGGCGATGGTTGTGGAGAACATTTATAAGGGCATACGCGGATGTTTTGGTCCAGAAAGGTACGACAAGCGATTCTCTTTTGGGATTTCTATCGCTCACAGAGATATAAACCCCTAAGACCCCACAAACCATCCAAAACACATCGCCCATGTCGATCGAGCATGCAACAGCGCAGCTTTCGTGTCACTGGCGGCGCGGATTGGGCTGCAAATCCTCGACGCTTTCGTGGCTATCACTCGGAAACCAGCTCCAGATGCAGCTCCTCCGAGGGCTCACTCTCCGAATTTGAGGCCTCCACAGACTACATACTGCAGCAGCCCCAGAAGCTTCAGGAGCTTCAGCAGCTGGACAGCATCCCGCCCGTGGACTCGTGCTACGAGCTGCATGGCTCGGTGCCGGGTTTGACCGCTGCCCTGGATCATGTGCAGTACCAGCGCAAGATGTGGAAGCTGCAACGACGCACCCTGATGGAGAATGCACGAGAGGCGATTGGGCTGCAGTGCGCCTGCTGGTGGAGCAGATACACGCCCAATCTGCGGGCTTTGTGCATTGAATCCAGTTTGGATTATCTCCTCCGTCCGCTCACCGCGGAGCAGAGACCCGCAACTGACCCTGAGCCAGGGGTAATGGCTTATATACGTGAACTTGTCAACATTTGCAGAAAGGTAGGGTCAAGGATAAAGCTGTGGATATTCCCTCAAGCATTCCCCTCCTTTTCTGACAGATAATCAAAGCCGCGGACTCGGTCCTCTCTGATGGCTGGTACATCAACACTTCACCCTGCCTGGACGTGCTGAATATCAATGAATTAATACCCGATTTAAACGGTGCCCTCATTCAGTACTTGCTTCGAATTGAGGAGCTGGCACCAAGCAATAGTTTTTAGAACTGCCCACCCGCCCAATAAACCAACAAAACCAACACCAAAAGTGGCTCCACTTTGATTCGAATTTACTGCACACTTAACGCCACGCCCCCAGGTGAGCGTTGGGCAATGATCGTAAAAAAAAGTGGCACCTGATGGATGGAATCACCAGCGAGGAACGGAACCCGTTGGCAGGTGCTTCAAGCTGTTTGGATAGTTAGTGGCTGGATCAGAGACCACAGACAAGAGACCACAGACCACAGCTTCAGACTCCAATTCATGAGTCAATTCTTGTACATTCTGGCGCCTCCTTTTAGCCCATTTCAAATGTCATCATCATCTTGCGCTTAAGAATTATGAGTGCGGCACATGCAATGATTGGATGTGGATCTGTATCTCGAACTGAATCTGAATTTGAATCTGAATCTGAATCTGAATCTGTTTTGTGCATTCCTTTGGCGCTGTGCGGGTGACGTTGACAGCTAAATGAATCGAATCTCATTTGGTTTGCCAAAATATTTATGCATCTCGCATTGACTTTGGTGGACCACGCCCAGCGAAATTTTGCCAGCTTTATTTATGCGAGGGCCACCAATGAATCAAAAGAAATCTGTCAAACAAGTTTATGACACTTTTCTGACGCCCCTCAACCAGTGTCAGTTTCTGTCTGTCTGTCTGTTGTCGGGGTGCCGTTGACATTTTAATTTGGCAGCCATCGATGGCAATTTAATAAATTTGCTGCCTGAATTTAATTGAATTTTGGAGCACTGTTTGCTGTGTTGAGCAATTGATGAGCGTCTCAACGAAGGGCACCTTGAAAACTGTGCAACCCTGAACGAGGTAATGAAAATGGGAGAGCTGAGGGTAAATCTAAAGGTTTTAGTAGCTAGGAGCTTAGGAGGAGTTTCAAGACTTTTACTGTAAAGAGTGAAAATAAATGCTTTGTTTGGGTGGCTATTTCGAATTAAAAAATGTTTCAATTTTGATGAAACTTTACATACTCCAATTTCTACTAAATTTCAACCTTTTATCGTTAAAACTATGCACTCTACACCTTTTTTATCTGCACTGCCCAGAGCAGTTCTGTCTCATCTGCTTTAACCTTTCCACCATTTCAATGCACAACTTTCCCATCTTATCTACCGAAATTCAAATTTCCAAAAGCTTCTTGTCTTTTGGGCTACACATTCTTCTAGTCTCTCTGGTGAGGTCCCACAATCGCTCATTGTGTCCCATGCTCCATGGCAACGATTCAGTCAATAGATCGCCTTTCATCCCAGAATCTACTACTACTCGTAAATGTGAGCAATTTTTATTGTGCCTCGACTGGGCTGTGGACTGGACTGCCAACGAAATCGATAGCAATATCTGGGCTATTAACAAAATCAGTGGAACGGCCAATGCAGACCAATGGATATGCATGTGTTCTATGTAAATTTATGGATCTAGCTGGCAATAACAATTAATAAAAATGGAAGAGAAAGGGGAGGGGCTAGGAGGAGGTGAAGGTGCATATCTCGGGTTACCCACTTCAAAAAGATATCAGAACTTAATCAAAGAAGCAATCGTATACAGAGACAACAAAGGAAACTGATGTTTCTTCTGGTGTGTCTTTGGGGTGCCCAATTTTTTGGGGCCACTAGCGCCAGTTGGGCAAAAAACCGGCCTTAGAGAGCGAGCAACAACAAGACCGTTAAAGAGCACAAAGTTCTGTAGTCTAGACTGGTTAATCCTTTGTAGATCTTGTCCAGGCGATAAACTTGGCTATCTGTCTGATTAGTGTGGCCTAATGTGACAGCCAAACGACGTTCCAGTTGCAGCCGGCGAGTACCAGTTCCAGTTCCCGAGAGTGTTTTTTCCACCTTAACTGTAGTTTGAGTGATGTAATTGGAGCGGCTTCTATGTATGGATGGCAGTCCCTGGATGCAGTTGATGATCATGACCCAGGGGCAAGGCATAAATCAACATGTTAGAGGCCGCAAGAACACACAACCACAAACCGGTTGCCATACCTCTTTCCCTCTCTCTCTCTCTCTCGCTCTCGCAGTAGCCATCCTTAGGTAAGAAGTTGGCACCCTTTTTTCTGTGGTGTTTTCTTGAAGGTGATGCATCCAAGAGGATCTACACTTTTATTCCCGCATGTGCCATTGAGATTTATTATATTTTTGTGTGTGTCACAGAGCCAGCGCCTCGTGTGTGCGTGTGTGTGGTCCCAACTGCTCCTCCTCCGCATCCTCTCTGACTTACTTTTTTTTGTATATATATTTTCATTTGTTTAATTGCAACTCAATGAACTTCGAGTGAACTTCGCTCAACAGGTGGGCCAACCCCCTCGAAAACCTTTCTCTCAATTGATTGACATTGAACTTTTTGTTATTGTTTTTGTTGTACTGATATCATCTACAACCTCAGCGACTTCCAATGAAATCAATAATCTGATTTCCAGTTTGTTCTCTGCCTTCTCTTGAGTGTCAGTTCAGCCTCGTATATCAATTTCACCGTTAAATGATGCGGCAAACCCAAAAAGAATTTCGAACCCAGGCCCATGCCCATGCCCAAAAAATGCCGCTGGCTGTCTCTGCCGCTCTTGAAACATTACCTAATCGCAGGGCCTAAAGACCAATTCCAGTTCCAGCAAAATGCCAAACTAATTAACTGGTAAAAAAACCAAAACCAAAAGCAAAACCAAAAAGGGATCCACAAAAAGAACAGCCTCAAGGGCTTACTGACCAGCGCTAAGCTTCCATTCTCGTATTTTTCGGGAAATGCTAATTGAAACAACTTTATTACCAACCAAAAATATTGAATATTGCACAAGGCAGGAGGATTGTGTGGGATGCCTCGAGGATATTTACAAGCAGGAGAGGCGTCAACACTGCACCATTTTTATGTGTTTGCAAACGGATCTTTGCGGGCCTTACGAATCGATTGGAGTGGCGCCCCAGACCCCATTTCGGTTACTTCTTTTACAACTTTCGCAGGAAATGGAAGGCAGGAATGGAAACACAATGCTGCAGTTAAAAATTGAAACAAATAATTTACGAGCTCATAACGAAACCAGAGAGCAGGAAGCTGCCAACCAAGATGCAAGTCACAGGCACAGGCAACTCTCCGACGTGCCCGCGGATATTGAGAGTTCATCGAGTAAGACTGCTGCTCCTCCTACTACAAAAAGTGTCAACTATCAGGGGTATACACCTGAGAGAGCGGGGGGTGGAGGGTATAAGGTTTCGCCGATCAAATGAAATTGATATGTATTTATTTACCAAAGAGAATTCCGAATACCAAAAGAACAGACAAACATCTCTGTTGAATTTTTGTTTGTGGAATTTTCATGGTGCAACAGGTTTGGTTTTTATTTATTTTTTGTTAGATCATTTTATTGTCGTTTGTTTGGCCATAAAATATTTCGACATTTTTATTGATTGTTGAGTTTTCTAGTTGCATTTTTGTCATAACTCTTAGCCCGATATCCCCACCAAAATGACTCAACCGAAGGAACCTTTGGACTCTTGACGCGCTTTGGGTCAGAAATTTCTGTTTCGTTTGCGTAATTCCCCCGGGTGGCCGCGTCATTGGCAAACATTATGGTCATGCACCATAAAAAAAAACCCAAAAATACAATAGTTGTGTGCCAAAAATATCCAAGGTTTTGGTAGGGTGGAAAATCGTACGTCAAAGGCTGCAAACCGCAACAATTGGCGCTGCCAGGATTTTAAATTGGAAATAATTTCTGGAAATCTTTTTTGGCTGCGGTTCTGTGTGAACACGTAGAGCACGTAGACCCATTTTCTGAGAACTACTCAAGAACTACTCATATGCAGATTTTTATTGCAAAATGAGTAAATGAGTATTCATAATTTGACAGTAAGTTTGTTTTCTAAACTTACCCCCGTGTTTTATATGTATCAGCATATAATAAAAATAATTTCCATTTGTCACACAATGAATTTCAAATTACGCGCCACTTTGCCCGCCGGCTAGATGCAGCTCTGACTCATTTGCCGCCGTCTGGCAACACTGCCTAGCACTACGCAAGCAAACCGACCGCGCTTACGTTTCACGTCTTCCCATTTGTCATTCGTTGACTGTTTCGTTTTTTTTTTACCTCGACCCGCACAAAAATGGCCAATTTAGTCGCCCGATTAACGGTTAAAACAGGCGCACTAATCACACAACGCACCAGCGTGGGCGTGGCCGTGTGCAGATATGCCAAATACTCAAGTGGACCGGCGAATCCAGGCGGTTTTAGCAAACAAACGCGTCGGTTGTTTTCGCTGTTGGGCGGCAGTGCAATTTCCGTGGCCGCCGTCATTGCAATTATAAAACTGCGTGCGCTGGATAATCCCGTGAATGCAGTGAGCCTGAAGAAACGCATGGTAATTATGTGCCTAAAAGTGCAGCAGAAGAATGCAAATAAGTGTTGTGCCTGGTGTGAAAAAGTCAATAATTTTTATGGACGTAAAAAGACTCGCGCATCTATTTTTAGATTGTGGTGGTTCTGCGTTACGTTACGCTACACCGTAGCAGCGACAGTGTTGCTTCTGTCGTTACACTAGCCGTCAGCTGTTTTCCATTGTTTCATTTTGTTTTGCTCGCGATATTCGCTGCACTACATCGGATTTTTATGAGTTCATTTACGTTTTAATTAGTTTGTTTAGCTAATCAATGGTTTAATTAGCTCTTTAATGGCAATTGCCATTCGATCTGTGTATTCCGTGGGTTTGTATGCAGTCCCACACGTTGGAAAAACCAGAAATTTGGTTCAGGGTCGTTATCACTGCTCACTCCCCATTAAATGTGTTGTAATTTTTGTTGTCGCTTTTGTTATTCGTTTTGGTTCCAAGTTCAATGAAATAACAAAAAATCAACAATTGGTTTGTTGGTGTGGGGGGGTTGCTGTTTTGTCGACGAAGCTTTGAATACCCTAGACGATTGTGATTTTGCTTGGTTGCTATGTAATACTTTCAGCCGATGTGGATGCAATTTTGTATAACTATAAATAAATCCCGGGAAATGCTGGTCGATTTTCACTGGAATATATCCACAAATAAAAAACTTCCAGGTGCCTCTCCGGCCAAAAGGGTATCCAAAATCATCAATTGAACCCGCAGGCACTATCTACCCGTCATTTGTCAACCTGTTGACATTGTCTCTGGGTTGGACCCACCAGACAGACACTGATGTGCAGTGCGTGCCGCCCTATAGAGGGTGTCCGACGATAAGACCAAGACCCCTATGAGTACTTCCACGATTTGTGGTGTGAAATATTAATATTTACATTGCTAGGGGGTAGGGGAGGGGGCTCTGAGCAATTGCTTATCAGAGCATAAAGCTTTGGAAGTAGGTGAGAGATAGGATTATAATTCCAAGTACTTTGTGTGGGGCTTAGGGGAAGGGGCGTTATTCATGTGGATTGGGTAGGGAAAGCCCTCTCTACTGATAGTGTTGACTCTCTTAGGAAATGTCATTCTTATTTCGCCTGAAACAAAAGCAAACAGCTCATGGAAATTGAGTTTTGATGAAAGGAAAGTTTTAGAAAGCAGATTTTAGATTTTACCCAGCACTCTCAACCTTGACATCTCTCCAGAATTCAGCTAAATAAATCCTTAACTTTCACACACTACCTACCCAAATCTTCATTTACATATCATTGAAAATCATTCAATTCCAGACGAAATCCCACATCAAATCCCATCTAAAATATCTGAAGATCAAATGCTCTTAATGCAACATTGTAAGTGCCACAAATTCATATGAAATCATGCACCACACACCTTGAAAAATGCATTACCGCGGCAGCAGCGGAAGGGAGATATACGATATGATATGATGAAGTGGCAAAGTAGTTATGATACGATACGCCCACGCACCTGCAGGCGGCGGCGGCGGCTATCCAATGTTCTGTTCTCACTCTCCTGCGGCTCTGAATGCTGACAGAATGCCAGTTACTGATAAATTTATCTATCAATCGATCTGGTTACCGGATTTGATACACCCACCAAACATGTCCCGACCCCCCACCACCCAATGCCAGACGCAGGCGTGGCCTGGCCTGAGCTTCAATCCGGAGATTTGGATTTTGATTTTGAGTTTCGGTTTGTCCCTGACATGTGTGTTATGACAACTGCGCCGACGACTGCGCCTGATGATGATGAATGAGTTTTAATTGTTGCCTATAAAGCCAGCAGCGCCTGCAGCCACATCAAATCTCTCCTTGTACACCCGAGCTACCAGGTCCACCGGCACAGTGGTGCCGAAGCCATGCAAATTAGCAAATATAAGACGGGGGTTTTTGGGGATACAAAAGAGCACAAATGTTAGAGATTTAGTTGGAGAAACCACTTCTGAAGGAAGAACTTATTATCTTAACCATTTGGTGGTTATATTTCTTCATCTAGTTCTCACTCAAAGAAATTATCCAGGTCCCAAAATATGCTCTTATTTTGGTAAATTTGTTAACTAATTTTCTAGGAATGTTGTTCCCGAAATATGCCTGAGTTTAAGTGTCCCAATCTGTGTGCTGTCCTGTCCATAGTTTTTTACTCCATTTCCAAGGTTACTTCACATTTTCTCTGAACACAAAACCCTCCAAAAATTGCCATAATTTAATTGTAATTTTGTACTACTGTTCCTTGCGACGACTGCAGCCTGCAGAATGATGTCAGCTTTTGGATTTATGAGGAATTGTATCTGTGGTGCCTCTCGGTGTTTTGGTCTTATTTCGGTCTTGAAGACGTGGGCGTGGCCATTGCGAAGTGTTTGCTGCACATGTCTAACATTCAAATTGGCCTTTGTTCGGGCATCGGAGACTCGAATTGAATTGAATGAGTGTCTGTGGCAGGGTACTCCTGGGAGGAGCAGTAGGAGGCGGAGGAGGAGTAGAGTTATGGCCTGGGAGTTGTCTTTGCACCGCAAATAAAACACAAATTGAGTCATTCCTGTGGACCCCCCTACAAGACAGGGTCTAGATTACATTTTTTTCGGGTTTTGTGGGTGGCATTAAATGTCAGATTTATGAGGATGAAGAAGGGAGAGAGATGATACCCCCACAAAATGTTCTCAAAATCAATTTGACACTTTATTTGCCAAAGGCAATATCACAACGTGGGAATCCTGTCCAAGTCGATCGTCAAATTACGAATTAAATGCGAAAGATCTACATGCACGATCCGAAAACCGGATCAAATTAATATTTCGGAGCGCAGTTGGATGCCCACTGGGCACTGGGCACTGGACACTGGACACTGGACACCAGGCAGGCATTAATCAAAACGTCACCAGATGGGAGACCTCGCAGCAGATTGCAATCCCCCAGGCCAAAGCCAAAGCTTTTGTTGTCGGATGACGGCCTTTGTGACCAAGCGGCGGAAATATCGTTGTTCGTGGCGCGATCCAATCATTTCATTGATTTATTTCAATTATACGAGAGTTATTCCCCACCAAATACGCACAACAGCGGCAAGACCAGAGCAGGCATATTAAGTTACCTTCCTTCATCCTTTCGATTTGGCTCCGATTCAATATTAAACCCATTCCGCATCCATTCCTTTCCAGCGCGATGATAGCGAACTGGAGAACGTAAAGCTGACGGCACGCGAGCGTCGCTTCATCAAATTTGCCTCCGTGGAGTACGATGATCAGTTGTACATGACGCCCCAGGATTTTCTAGAGTCTGTCGTGGAACAAGAGCCCAGACGTGAGTTTCATTTTGAGATATTTTTTATGAATTTCCATACTATTTTGTTTTTGTTTCTGTAGCTCGTTTAAAGCGCCGCCAGCTATCCAGCGTTGAGGTGGACAAATACAAGGAAAATACACCCGCATTGAAGAAGGGCTCCACACGTCTGTTTCGGAATTTGAGGGATAAGGGTAAACGACAGCAGTACAAAGCTTAAATGATGAGCGTGTCGGGAGCTTAGAGAGAGTACTGATATAAAGATTAGAATTTAATCATGTTATGTTCTACATTCCTACTGGAAAAAGTACTACTAATGGCTGATTTAAAGAGCTTAAGGAATCTTTTTTATGGAATTTTAGTCTCGAACGTGTGAGAAAACCTCTTAAATATATTAAGACCCTGCAAAATAATTCTGAAATAGCAACAAATCATATAAATACCCAAGCTTAAAAGAATCTTTCCATTATAGTCATGTGGGTTTTAAGTACATTTTTCGCTAAGCTCTAAAACGCTACGTTTATAGTTGCATTCATATTTTATTTCCGAATAAACTTTCATCTTAAATTGCAGGCATTGTCTCCTACACGGAATACCTGTTCTTGCTCTCCATTCTCACAAGTAAGTAGTTTCATGTTTAAACCTCAACAGTAACCCCTCAATCCTTTTTCCTTAATTTTATAGAACCCAAATCTGGATTTCGCATTGCCTTCAACATGTTCGACACGGACGGCAATCAGCGCGTGGACAAAGACGAATTTCTAGTGGTAAATAGTGGTGCTGCTGCTTCTAGGCCCAGCCACATTTAAGGCTTCATTGTATTTGCTTTTCGTATGATTTATTTATAATTTATATTACAAATTGTATTCATTAGATAGTTTCCATTTTGGCGGGCGCCTTTAAAGAGAATCAAAATGTTGATCCCCAAACCAAGCGAATTGTAAGCATTGTTTTTCCTTTTATTTGATTTAAGTTAAGTCTACAATTTAATTTAAAAATGATAATTCGTTTAAGCCAGCCTAAGGGCAATGGAAGTAAGCTGCACTTAACAGGCACACCAAAAACCTATCAATTAAGCTATGATTTTTATTGATTATTCTATACTTTTATTTATGTTTAACGTATAATTTGTTTTATTTGTTAAAACCCTCACGTATCCCCTTCCACCCACTCGTATGTTAGCTATCGCGTTTAGTGTCCTATGATGAGCAAAGAGACATGCAGAATAGCCGTATGCCCATGGCTAAGAAGGGTCTTGTAAGTGGGAGAATTAAATCAAATAAAATTCGTATACAAGTTATGTTGGCTTCGCTGCAAAGAGCAAAAAGAAGGCTCCAAACAAAGCCACAAAAGACGCACAAGTCCTGCGTACGCTTACGCTGTGTTACGTTACGTTTTATTTCTGTTACGTTACGTTATAGATCATATTTCTAAATATATGTATATTTGCTTTTGCTTTAAGTACATCTTTTGTATTGCCTTTTGAAGTTACTATTTGTTACTTTTGTTCTTCTGCGCTTATCGTTTTTGATGCCCCCACAAACGACAAACCAAACTCCCACCAAAAACAACAAAAATCCTCACTAAAACCTCCCTAACTTTTCTTCTCTGTCTAAAACCAAACACAAACCCGCAAATCCACAAATTCCTGCTCGATCCGCCGGCATGTACATACAATATACCCAGATGGAGCGCATTTTCAGCGGTGCTTGGAAGGAGAAGCACGGCGAGCAAGAGTCCCAGGAGCTCGAGCATGAAGTGCCACCCATGGAGGTAAAACCCAACAGCATGATAACCCCTCCCCAGAGTGTGACTAACTAGCAGCTACAGCTAGCAACTACCAATTTGACTTATCCTACTATCTTTAAACCTTACCAGAAGGACTATGTAAACGATGGCGAGGGACTGCAACGTCGTCATGTGGTGCCCACCACCTTGCAGCTGCACTTCTTTGGCAAACGCGGCACTGGCGTCATCAACTATGACAATTTCTATCGCTTCATGGACAATCTGCAGACTGAGGTGCTGGAGCTGGAGTTCCATGAGTTCTCCAAGGGCAACAGCATCATCAGTGAGCTGGACTTTGCCAAGATTCTGTTGCGTTACACGTATCTGGCCACCGATGAGTATGATGTCTTTCTGGAGCGCCTGTTGGAGCGGGTGAAGGATGAAAAGGGCATAACCTTTCATGACTTTCGTGACTTTTGTCATTTTCTCAACAATTTGGATGATTTTACAATTGCCATGCGGATGTATACACTGGCAGACAGGGCCATATCAAAGGGTGGGTGGAACTACTCTATACTCTCTACGGAAACTCATTTTCTTCCTAATATTTGTAGAAGAATTCTCGCGCGCTGTCAAAATCTGCACGGGCTATAGCCTCAGTCAGCATTTGATTGACACTGTCTTTGCCATATTCGATGCCGATGGCGATGGTTTGTTGTCCTACAAGGAGTTTATTGCCATAATGAAGGATCGCCTGCATCGCGGCTTCAAAGTAAGTGGTCGTTTCTTTGATTACAACGAGGCTCTGGATGCCTATGACGAGCCCGATTATCCCATATTTGTGGCCTGGCGACATCGCGTCTGCAGGCACTTGGACTACTTCATTGACAGCGATGCGCTGTGGCACTAAATTAGCTTAATAAAATCACTCGTTTTAATTGTGTTTTTTTTTCATTAAACTCGAATGTCCTGCCCTCTCTAATCTCATTGTTACTCATTTGTTTGTGTGTGTGCTTTCGTTTTTGACTGTAATCGTTTATTTTTAAGCTCTAAGCTTAATGTTTTTTCTTAGCTAATTTATAATTTCTTTTAACAAAGGCACATTTTATTTTATCTTTAATATTAATTTTACACCCAAATTGGCCATACAATCATTAAACCCTGGATGAGCACAAGAAATTTGATTTTTATTCCTGCAAAAACATTCGAAAAATGTAAGGAACACTGTACAATTGTTAATTTGTTATAGATTTATTTTTGTATTAACCATTCACATTAAAATTTCCCACATTTACATTCATTTGCATCCATTTTACGTCACTTTTGTCCACGTTTTAGCTGCTTTTATTTTCTTTTCCTCAGCAAGAGGATGCTCCAGATCTAGACGAACGTCTAGCGGTACCCCTTGAATCACTCGAGTCCCAGGGTGTCCCAGAGGAGGTCAGTGGGTGCCGTCGAACCCACAATTTTCACTTTGCTTTTCACTTTTCTCTGTTCTGCCTCCTCCAATCACTTGTGTCTCCCCCCCCCCCCCCCCCCTTCAACAATTTTCACTTTTCTTTTGTGAGCCTTCCGCCTGGTCTTTAACTAATCCTCCAAATAAACCTTCCTTACAGTCCGTGGCCAAGTCCGAGGGCTGGGATGCCTTCAGGTTCTGTGTGCGCCAAGAGATGAAGACCCTCATGAAGTCCTCCAACTAAGGGAAGGAATGGATGGGGAGGAATTAATGAAAATCTAAGCCAAAGTGAAACAAACCCAAATTCTAGTTATCAAAATTTTTTCTTCCAAAGAAACAAAATCTCTTGTATAGAAATTATTTAAAACAAAAAATTGTATTGTTAATGCATCGAATTATTTATGAAATTTGTTAAATATGGAAAAAACATTCATTCGCAATCACGAAAATGAATAGAAAATATTGTTGAACCTCCATTGTGTTATATAGCATAATTAATAAATTGTTTTTTCAAGTTTTTGTTACATTTTTATTTAGTTCTCTTTTAATTTTTGATTAAGATTTAAAGACTTGCTAGAAAATGCATTCAGATAAAATTCGCATCAAAATGATCTCTTACTCCTTTCTTTCTTTCTCTTTTCTTCACCTCAAACATTAATACTAAGTGATTTTTATAATTAAATATTCCGCTTGTCAGGGGGTCGGGAGGGGAGTGTGGGATATCGCGGCCTGACTGGAAGTACAGCTGGGGCTTTGGGTTGGGTAAGGGCACTTAACTATTGCATAAATATAGTATCTAAGTATCTTCTAATATAAAACTCCAACGCGTATTTGTCTAGATCATTTCTTTGCACTCGGGCAAAACAGAAAAATAAAAATTATCACAGTTAAATTGCGTGCATTCGACAGATGGCGGATACACCCTATACAGCTATATCTTCTATATCATTATCATTTTCCTCTCTCTGTTAACATCTATCTAGCGTTCGTTGCTGGTATACAAAATATATAAGTTCATCCTTTTTTTTTTGCTACTGAATTATAGGGAATTGGTTTTGGAATAGTTTTCTCTGCATGTGGTACACAAATTGCACAAAATATAACTAAAAATATCTACAAATATTAATTAATTAATAAATTATTGCATCTAAATGATAAATAAATGGATTTATCTGTGTGTCCTAGTCCTGCGTTGTGGGCGGCAAAGTCCAGCTCACGTACTTCTCCTTCTCCTGCGTGTCCTTGTAGTTGCTGCGATTGGCCGACGCTTTTGAGCGACGGAACTTGAAGTTGGCAAACACATCACGCTTTGGATCACCTTCCAGCGCCAGAGACTTTTCCAGCTCTAGGTTACGCTGCAGTCCCACGCCCGCAAGGGGCAGTTCATCGCTAGCCTTGCGGAAGTTGTACGAACCCTTGCGCAGCTTCAATTGCTGCTGCTGCTGCAACTGCAGCTGTTGACTGGCCGCAGATGGCGGCGTCTTCTTGGGGCTGCCCATCTTCGGCAGTGGCTTTGGATCCCGCATCAGTAGGGGAAACAGCGCGTCGTCGGCATCAAAGTACCATGGGCGCGAAAAGTGATAGCCGGCACTGTAGTACGGCTTGAAGATGGGTTCATTCGAGCAAATACTGAAGGCGTGATAGGCGTGCGATATGAGTTGCGGGAAGCGATCCACCCAGTAGTTAGTGAACTCGTGCGGTATGCAGCCGAGCATTTCCTGGGCCGCTGGCGTCAGCTCGTGATAGTGATGCTTCTTGTTGCGCAGCGCACGCAGCAGATCTCTTACACTGGCGCCCATATATCCGCGATACTTGCGCAGATCATCGGTGATCATGGGATCCAAATGCTCATTCCAATCATCCAACACCACAATGCGGCCATTCTTCTCCAGCGATTTGAGAGGCTCTGCATGGAATTGCAGCTTCTCCACGCGATCGCTCACATCCTGCAGGAAGGAGAGCATCTTTGGCTCATCCCAAAACAAAGGATGATTGCCAATGCAGCGTGCAGGCGGACGCGACTGTGGATCCTTGTGTATCATGTCGGAAATGAGTTGCTCTGCAAGAACCTGCAAAAAGGAAGATCAGTTTAATTAAACGATCTAATAAAGGTTAAAGCATTATGCTTACCGTCTTGCTATTATCGCTGTCATCATCGGAGCGCAGCTTCGACAGATTGTACTCATGGGAGAGTATGTTGGCCTGACGCTTCAGATTGTCCCCAAAGGCATGGTGGCCTCCGCTGAGAACATAATAGTAGACACAGCCCAACGAAAAGATATCCACAGCGGTGGTCTGTAAGATGCAAAATGTTTCAGAAGATAACCCAAAGGCAGATCTAAATCATAGCTAACCGTTCTTTGGGCCCTCATCATTTCGGGTGCTATCCAACCATCTGTGCCCGTAACGCCCGAGCGGCGGGAGAAGCTTGTCTTGCCGAAATTCAACTTTTTGCACAGTCCAAAATCAGAGATCATTACTCGCACCTTGCCCCTGGCATCGGGCAGCGAGATCAGAACATTCTGTGGCTTAATATCCCGATGGACAATGTCCAGTGAGTGCAAATGACTCAGTCCGGAGGCTGCTTGGCCAAGCACTTGCCACACATCAATGTGATGCTGCAGCTCCAGCGAACGATCGCCTTCGGTGTAGTCCTGCAGCGTGGCGGCACACAGCTCCACGGCTATGTAGCGGAACTGACGATCCTGTTCGGTGCAGAAATAGCGCACAACATTCTCGTGGGCATCCGATTCACGGAGCAACGCCACCTCGCGATCCGCAAAGGTAAAGCACTCGGGCAGGAGTCGCTTGACGGCCACCGATCGCTCCTCGAAGGAGCCTTTAAAGACAAAGGTGCCCTCGCAGCCCTTACCCAGCACTTCGTTTGAGTTGAAGCTAATCTTGCCGACACGCACCTGTCCGTTGCCCAGATCCACCAAATCCTCGGCACTGATGCTGCTGCTGTTGCTCCCCTTGCTGCCGCTTCCGTTTGTGCTCTCTGCGGTCATGGCCAGCGTTTTGGAGCCATTCTCGCTCTGCTTCTGCAGCTCCCTCATCGTGCTGCAGGTGTACCAGAACAGCGCAATCATTCCGAGCACAATGACAATCAATATCTGGTGCACCTTTCCGCTTGGATGCTCCATAAACCACTCATTGATGAATGCCTGCACCTTGTTGCTGTTCTGCAGGATGATCGTCTTGGTGCGATTGATGGTGTTGCTGTTTGTCCGCTGATTAATGCCTATCTCGACGAGTTCAGGATCCGTTTGCACACCAATATCCGCCGCATTCTTTTCATTGTTGGCCAGCAGGCCATATCCATCGTTGTAGTTGTCGATGGTCGCCAGACTTTGGACATCTTTGCCACCTGCGGGCGTGGGGGATAGCTGTAGATTCGCATGCCCTTCATTGGGCATATTGTAGTGTCCCAACATGATGCCCGCATGCTCGTGCAGCACATCATTGATGTAAACGGTCTTGGGATCCGTTTCCTTGTTGCTATTCTGCTCCCCAACGGGTCCATCGAGTAGTTTCACTGGTGGTGTGGTGGAAATTCTCGCTGTATTTTTATCCACCAGCGAGGGAAGGGCATACAAGCCGCTCTGATGCTCGCCCACATACAGCGATTGACTGTAAAAGTACAGAATGATTTAGTAAAGTTAAAAAAGAAACGATTTTTCTGAGCTTACAATAGTTTCACAGTGTTTACATTCCCTGTTTTGGATTCCTCGAGTATCGCCTGATAGGCCTCATCCGAGAGCGTGGTAAAAGGCACACTGAGCAGTCCATCGGGTCCCAGCAGAAAGGCAGCCACCACGGGACTGCTTAGATCTCGCTGCCACAAGAATTTGCCCTGTTTGCGATCTAGGGTTACGATCTGTCCATTTGTGGTAGTCGTCAGATGAATGTACTCTTTGGAAAGAAGATATTTATTAGCAAAGGAATGACAATTAGAGATTATCTGCTCCACTCACCATACTCCTTGACCAGCTCTGGCGGTGCACTGAGCGCATTGTAGTCATAAAATGTGATATTCCATGGCTTGGCATTCTTATCCTTGGCCAAGCTATCGAACATCATCACCGTGTACTGTGTCCTGCCCAAGTAAATTGCCCGGGAGGTGGCCCAGCCAATCTGTTCCCCCTCCTTGCCATCCATTGTGGCATCGCCAAAACCCATGACCTTCTCGCGTCGCCCTGTCTTGGGATCCACCATGTACCAGGTGTCGCTCTTCTTGCCAGAGTACAGTATGCCATCGGAGGAGCGACACGGGGCATTGGCCACCAGCTGAGGAATGGTGTAGGGCAGCTTCTTGAGGCTGCCCATCTGGCCCAGCTGATAAATGCTGCCATCTCGCGGGTCGGGCAGAAAGTGTGGCACTTGGAGATTTTCCTGCGGCTCGGCTACGATGGGGGGATCTGAAATTGGTGAGAATTGTGTGATTAATAATGATTGATCAATGATATTAAAGTTAAATATTGATTTATCGATTCTCGTATTCCAACTAAGTGAGTTCTCGATAAAGA